TTCTACGTTTTTTGAGTTGGCACGTGTTGTCCTCACCATTTTGATAGAGGGCTAGTGTTTTGTGTTTGGTCGAGGGGGAGGGTTTCTTACTTGATTGTTCAACCTCTCAACGAGAGCACCAAATGATGGATAGTCTACCCGGGGGTATATATCCGAAGGGTTATTACGGGGAGTAATTTAGAGAGAAGTCAGAGCAAGTAAGTAAAAGTAGAGAGAGAGTGTATTCAGTATGAATGCCGTTTTCAGCATGTTATGACTTGGTTACAAATGGGGAAAAAGGGGCGCTATTTATAGTAGCAATAAATGCCGGGCAGGGACACGTGTCAAGCGCTCATTGGCCGAGGGGTCACCTCAACTGGTTGGCGCTGGCAGCCGCATGTGGCCGCATTTAATGCGGTTGTTGGATGGGACGTCTGTGCGGGGTACGATGATCTGTACGCATGTGAGGCGGATATCTTGTCGAGTGAGATGCCTTCAGTTACAGAGCAGTAGCCGAGGGCTCTTCCACCCGAGGGCTCACAGTGCCGAGGGCTACTGTTTTCGCCGTTTTCTCCCAGTTTCTTAATTTGCCTGAGAAACCCGTTCTGTGAGAATTTGGAGCCTTCGGCCAGGGGGCCGAAGGCACCCCGGGCGCGTTGTGCAGGCTGCTTGGTACTCTGGGCGCTGTGATTTGGGCATGTTGGGCCTTCGCTGGAGTAGTAGGAGTCTGTGGGCCGGGGGTTCCCGGGCCATATACTCCATCACATATAATACATGTCTATGATGCACTGATACTCCACTTTGATGTTGTATTGACGCATCCGATACGTTCCGATACTGATACTCATTGATACGCGTCTTGTACGTATTGCGACCACATTCATAATTTAATAGAAGTATTGGACTTATTTTTAAAAATATAAATACTTCTGATACTATACTCGTATCTGTGAACAAATACATGTATCTAACCCTATAACCCTGATTTCAGACATAACATGACGAAAATTTAGTAGCCACTCAAGCGAGCACAAGATGTGGAGCGTTGATAAAGATGATTTCGGGAGAATGGAAATATTGAAATACTATAATTTATCAATTTATCATTTGATGAGCTTTAATTGGAACCAGTCTTGTTTAAAAATTTAGATGTAAATGTAAATAGAGAACAAAAAATATTATTTAAATTTAAATCGAAATATCACTACTTTAGTTTTTTAGTCTAATCTTTGAAATTTTATTATAATTGTTAAGAAAACTACTCCCTATATTGTAGTATAGATGGAGTATTATTATTTTATTTATGAACCTCTGTATTATATATATTGCAACTTACACCCTATATTATTATTATTACTATCATTATTATTATTTATAAATATACACTTGTACCCGTATCCTATATTTTTTGAAGTTGTCGTATCACCGTACCTGTATTCGCGTATCGGTATATCGGCGTATCCGTATCCGTGCATCATAGATACATGTTGTTTGTCCCTGTATTCAACAATCAAAACAAAAAAAAAGATAGAGTAGAGAAGAAAAGATGATCTGATTCAATACTAAAAGGATTTCGAATTACAGCTCAAGTATGAAACAGAAACTTCTTTGCTCTCTCTCTCTAGAATGATATATGCTCTGATTTTCTTAGAGAGGCTTACGGCTCATTCACTTTAAGGCAATATTTATATGCCTAGGGAATGAGATGATGTGACCTAAGCATAATTGAGCTCCTTTGTTGAGGTGACCCAATTGCATATTTTATAATATTTCCTAATAAGGCTGGTCTACTAATATTCTATTAAATACATTCCAGAGACATAACAAAAATAACATTGATCACAATAAAATATTTCCCAACAGCCCTCCTTTGTGATCAAATGTGCTTCAACTCTTATTCATCTCTGCCTCTTGAAGTATGACTTCTACAGTGTCAGGGCATGCTCAAACTATCGCAACGATTGTCGCATCTCAATCCTCTTGTTAATGGTCTCGAGCAATTTGGTTATCCTATCAAAGTCCTTGAGTTCTTCTTCACTGGCTTCTTCAAGAATGATTTGCTTCTATAGCTTTTCGAGCTTGGCTTTGAAGATCTTCAGTACAACTCAACTTCCTATATCTTCTTGAAAAAGGCTTTCTGAAAAAATCCTTGCAATCTTCCGTTTGACGTCTTTTTGGCAATTTGTTCTGTGATGTCGGGGATTGAGGGATCTTCAAAATGTTTCTTTTAAACTTTGCCTTTTAAAAGATGTCCCTGATCAGCTTGAGTGAAGTTCGACGACGTCTCTAGAATGATTGTTCTGTTGATTTTCATACACGAGATTCAACTTTAGTACTTGAGTATCCGACCTTTGTCTCCACAAGAATGTAGTGTTTTTAACCATTTGAAGTGAATGCTTTTGAGAACTTGTCGGTGGCACAACGAAAAATGATGATTGATTGGTGAATGTAGTTGAGCATTTGATGTGAAGCTGACTTGACAGTTTTGATAATTTGAGAGTAAATAGTCGTCAATTTTTGTTGAAGGAGAGAAATGTTCGAAAATGATTTGTGATAGTAAACAACATGTGGAACACTCTCCTCCTCATGGCGATATGATGAATCGGGACGTCATGCCTCTATTCTTTTATTCTGAGTAACAAAACATAAAAACAAATAGAAAGGTAAAATGATAAAAATCAGACACACTAAGGCATTCCGTTAACACAACATCAATGTAAACACTGATGTATGACTTGTGTAAAATGATAGAAGCATTAAAGCTCTAACCGTACTTCCAACCAATCATTGTGAAGCATCTGAAGTAGATGTCAATCTGGGTGTTATGGCATGATCATAAAGATTAGCAAAGAAATATGTAACCCCACGATCGTGTAGACGCCTGTTATCATCACTATAGAAATAAACTCAAAAATGATGACCTGAACATGTTGGTGATTTCTATGTTGCAACATCAAAACTTCCTTCCAATCATTGGTCTACCTCTTTAATAGATGAGCCATATGGAAGTTCTCGCAAGTCATTTGGACCTGCAAGTGACTCTAAAAATTGTCTGTGTCCTAGAAAAGTCATTTTCTTATTTTATAGAAGGGAATGTTAAATTTCAATAGTTGACATATACATACTGCAATTCACTTGACCTTACTTTGCCAACAAAGTAATATACTCCCTCCGTCCCGTTGGAATGTTTCCGGTTTGACTTACACACATATTAAGGAAATAAATTTACCAGGAGGTAAATTTTACTATTTTGACACTGTTTCGACACTGTTTGGCACTGTTTCGACACTGTTTGGCACTGTTTCGACACTGTTTCACACTGTTTTGCATTGTTCGACCCTGTTTTGATGTAGGATAACTTTCCATTTAGGGAAATGGGAACTTTCCAACGGGACATCCAAAAAAGGAAAGCGAGAACATTCCAACGGGACGGAGAGAGTGCTACGTAATTAATACTCCCTCCGGACCTAAATAAACTTCACACTTTCTTTTTTGGATAGGTCCAAAATAAATTTCACACTTATTCTCCCTTCCTTATTTGGCAAATTATCTACATCAAAACAGTGCAAAACAGTGTCACAACAGTGTACTCTACAGTAAAGCCAAATTTATTTCCTTAATTTGTGTGAAGTCAAAGTGTTAAGTTTATTTAGGACCAGAGAGAGTAGTTGGATATATACACATAAAGCAAAGCAATTCTCCAAACATGGTGTCAATTATTTAAAAATGTTGGACTCATTGGCTGATCATGTGAGAGTATCAATAGTTTACAAGAAAAATCTGAAGAAAACACAACAGTATAACACTGGCAAGTTTTAACTTTTAACAGAGAAATAAGGAAATTAAAAGTTTGTAAAACTAATCAAGGGTTGTTACACTATCCTATATTCCTCATCATTGGTATTACTTTACAGAATAATAATTACTCCCTCTATCCCCTTTTAAATGTCCCATTTTACCATATTGAGATGTCCCTATTTAATTGTCTTATACCTTATTTGGTAAAGTTTGTGTGGCTCAAAATCATTCTTACTTTATTCTTACTTTATCTATTAATATCAACCACACAAACCTACTTTTCTTAAAACTCGTGTCACCCTCTTCCAGGACATTTAAAAGGGGACGGAGGGAGTACTATAATAGTCAATAAGTACGTGGCTTTTAGCTTGGCTGAATTTAACAAAAGCCATTCCTTATATAAAATCAAATATTCTTCCATTTCAGCCAAATAACTGAAGCTCTAGCTCAAAATGCAACTGTCCAAGACAAAAACCCATGTATAGATTCAGTACTTGTAGCTGGCAAATAGCCTATATCAAATGGCAATCGCTGCCATTCAAATTAAGACAGCGCGAGTCACCAAATCTATACCACCACATCTATTGACAGATACACCTTACTTCATAAGCCATACCTCTTGAAACCAATAAAAAGAAAGAGATAATCTTTCCATTAGATGCATTTACTTTAAAAGCATTGTTTCATACTCCGTATCATGGATACAAAGAACTTTAACGGACTCAGAGTGAGAGAGAGGGAGAGCAAACAATCTTTATGCATATGTAGTCTTTGGCTAGTGACAATGTTACAACTTAGAAGTAGACAATATGACATCTTTTATCTGTATGTTACATTATTATTAGAAGACAACAGTGTTGTAGGGCCTTGGGAATGAGTGTATCAAGAGTTATGACAATGTGTAATATGACAGAAATTTTGCAATCTAAAGGTTGTCATTGGAATCCAGTGAATGTAGCAAAAATCCTTGCGGTACAGAATACTCTTCTTGACTGATAAGACTGTAATGCATGCTCAATTACTCTCTATGTTAGCTTAGAGACCTAATCGTGTCTGAACGAAATAAGAGACTCTTGAGTCTTGAATGGGACTATGGTTAAAAACTTAAAATATACTACCTCCGTCCCTCTTATATTGGGTCGGAAGAGAGTGACACGATTATTAAGAAAAGTGGGATTATGTGCTTGATATTAATTGATAAAGTAAGAATAAAGTAAGAATGATTTAGAACCACACAAACTTTACCAAATATGGTATGAGACAATTTTAGTGGGACTTCCCGAAAAGGTAAAACGGGACAATATAAGAGGGACGGAGGGAGTAGTAATTTTGCAACCAAGGAAGTACAAAGAAGTTCCCACTTGCAAAAGAAAGATAAGGAATTGTAGTCTCATGCAAAAATATGGTATAATGATTACTACTTCATTACATGAAGTTTCCAAAGAGGTAGGCAAACCATCATAGAATAGAAACTAAGTTTTCAAGACTGAATGAAGTTCTTGATGTTCTTGAGCCACATCAAATACTCTCTCCCATCCTTGTTAATCATGTACTCATGCAAAAAGTTGGTCGTACTGGGCTTGATCCCTCTGATCTCTAGGTACTTGTGGAATGCCTTCTGCAGATTCTCATCCAAATCTCTGAGACGGGTTTAAAAAGGAATAAATGCATTAATAATAATTCAAGAAAATCTAGAATGCCCATACTGAAGATTAAGGTACTATACAATACATACAGTTTATGGATAAAGGATGGAGGATGGTGAAAAATGAGTAATTAAAGCCTATCTAAATATTGTAAAGAGGCAGTTATCAGGAAAAACATTTGCTCTCTCTAAGTGTGTGTTTGGTTGAACATTTGGAGGGGAATAACTTTGAAGGATTCATCTGTCTCTATGAAACATACTCAATGTATAGGAAAACTATAATGTTATCTGATCACCTATTATGCAATTTCATCAAGTTGTATAGAATCTCAAATATCTCAAATATATAAAGACATACAGAGTTCAACTCTAAAAAATCCTCTAAAACCTCGCCGAATCTCCATACAACGAGACTCTAAAGTTCCGCCAACTACAATTAAACGGAAGGAGTAGTTTGAAACAATCGGTGTTAATTCTTAACAAAGAATAGTAAATAAGGCTAACCCACACGAACAGTCAGAATGGACTTTAAAACAAGCAAGCAACATTTAGTAAAAAAAACAGTAGATGTAAATTCATAACTAATAACTGGCTTATAACTTACGCGAAATCAGGCCCTTCATACGCAATTTGATCCTCGTTGTTTTTAGGATCCCTTATTGATAGGCTGTCTATAGAAATTTCATCAGGAAAAGCGGTACATCCGAACTCCAGGGAAGGACCATTCTTTTTTGAAACCCTAACAACAAGAGGAATTTGTGATTCATTGCCCTGCTCCTTCTCATCATCATTAGAACCTTCATCTTGATTTTCTTCCCCAGAAACTAGGTCAGGCATGTGAACTTCTACGGATATCTCTTCGTCTTGAAATTCTCTTGTCAGTGTTATGGTCTGATAACCAGGATTGTCTTCAATTTTGAAAGGAAACCCGGCAGGAACATCCTCAACCTAAACCAATGATAAATAATGTGATTAGAAAACTCCACTGGAGCTCGATTCCTAAGTCTTAACATGACATTGAGACTAAATTTCACCTAGGAGTTGGAAAATTAATAGTTTGCGGCTAGAATAATTAAATATACCCAAATTAGCTACTAAAAATTCAGACACCTGGATGAAAAGTTAAATTACAACTTGAACGTCTAAAGCAGCTGCTGAATAATCGGTCAAACAAAAAAAACAAGAATCTGAAAATGAAAACAAAAAAGGAATCGAATTTACGTATAAGAGTTGGAAAATAACTATTCTGAAGCTAAACCGATTAATAAAATACAATTCATCAAATTATAGATTGAATAAGTATAATAATGATCGATTCATTCAATCGTCGAGAAATACAAAACGAAAAAAACGAGTTGGGAAATGAGATCAACATTTAACCTTGTCGGAGCCTTCAGTCTCAGCAGCACATTCGATTTCGGAATCAATAACTTTGAGAAGAGCCGCATCAGCCTTCGAGGAATATTGATGAAAAGCTGAGGGAACTGCGCTGCGGGAAAAACTTCCAGAGACACGAACGCGGTTGGTGACGCCGGCGGCGGAGAAAAGGGAAGAACACTGGTTATGATACTTCTGAGTTCTTCCAATGAGTCGGGCGACTACGGCGCCATGAACCGCTGTTCGTTTGATGGCATTGAAGAGTGCCATTTTAGGTCTGGTTTTAGATGAGAGAATTGGCACAGGAAAGTTTTGAATCGTAGGGTTTTAGAGTGAGGGGTTTTTGAGAGACGAAGTTTATAGGGAAACGAGTTTGGGGTTCGAAAACATCATCAGCTGCCCGCGACTACACTATCATTAATTTGGTCCGCCTAGATTGGGCCTAAAATGGCCCAAATATGCTCGCCATTATCCCTGCCGGACAGATAATAATTTCTGACTAAACTTTTAGCCCACATTTTTTAGTATGCGATGTGGAGTACTCCGTATTACTCCCTCCGTCCCGAAAAGGTTGTCCAAAGTTGACTTTCACGTAGATTAATAAAATAAAAAATGTGTGGTTGAAATTTGTGCAGAGTAGAGAAAATTTACTTTAGCCACATATTTCTTACTTTAAATGAAAATGACAAATCTTTTCGGGACATCCAAAAAAGGAAATTTGGTCAACCTTTTCGGGATGGAATGAGTATTTAAGAAAGGGAGAACTACTAAATAAGCCATCGAACTTTCTTAAAAAGTGCAAATAAGCTCTTTTATAGGAGACTCTGTCCGACCGTCGTCATTTAGGACGGTTTCCAGTGAAATTATTTGATGAAATTTTTGAACATCTTCTTCATTAAGTCTAGTTTACTCATGCCAAAATTCAGCTAAAAAATCAATCGGGAAGGCAGTCAAATGATTTTTGAAGATAACTGTGTAGTTAGGCAGCGCAGTATATTTCAGAAAATCATTTGACTACCTTCTCGATTGAATTTTTAGCTGAAATTTGGTATGGGTAAACTAGACTTAATGAAGAAGATTCTCAAAAAAAATCATCAAAAAACTCCACCGGAAACCGCCCCAAATGGTTACAGTCGAACAAAGCCTCATGTAAAAAGACTTATTTGCACTCTTTATGAAAGTTCGAGGGCTTATTTGATAGTTCTCCCTTTAAGAAATTATTTCAAATATGACTACTTTTTTCAATTATGACTAAAACATATACAAAGTCTATAAATAGGATTAACATGTTTTATTTTCAGTTAAGAATTATTTCATTCTATTAAAAGTATAAAATTTTCTCATTGAATAGTTAAAGAGTTCTATTTTATTAGGAAATTGCCCTAAATAGGATTAAACAACTTTAGAAATTCCAAAATAGGATCACTATGTTTTTCTTCCCGAAATAATAGTCATTACTGTCATGATTGAAAAATAATGTTATGATTGAAAAAATAATGTCTATAATTATAATAAATTTTGTCATGTTGAATGCATAGTACTGCAATTATTTGTCAGTTATAACTAAAAGGTGACAATAATTACTGTCATTAGTCCTATTTCAAGTGTAATAAAAAGGTCACTTTGTTTGACATTATAGACGATGCAAATGTAATTATCATTGAAGCCATCACAAATAATAATAACATCCTGATGATCAATATTATGGTTGTCAAATGAATGATTAAGATTTAAAAAAAAAAATTCAAAAATATAAAATTGTTCAAATGATGTGCATTCAATAACATTGGGGGCACACTATGTAACTCACATATACAAATTTAGCAATTAATTTGAGTTTTTCTAGCCCTAGTGCCACACGTATTTTGATTGTACATTTTGGTGCATAAATATATTTACTCAACATTACACAATGAAACAACAACACTTTAGGAAATCAAAGTAATTAAACATATTTATATTGGGAAAATAGTTAAATAGGTTCTCGAACTAACTTAAAAGTGCAAATAACCCCTTATATAGGAGACTCTGTCCGGCCGTCGGAATTTGGGATTCCTTGTGGAATTTTTTGATGATTTTTTTGAGCATCTTCTTCATAAGTATAGTTTACTCATACCAAATTTCAGCTACAAATTCAATCGAGAAGGCAGTCAAATGATTTTTTGAAGATAACTGCGCAGTTAAACAGCGCAGTACATTTTAGAAAACAATTTGACTGTCTTCCCGGTTGAATTTTTATCTGAAATTTGTTATGGGTAAACTAGACTTAATGAAGAAGATTATCAACAAATTTCATCAAAAAGTTCCACCGGGAACGTCCCCAAATGGCGACGGCCGAACAGGGCCTCCTATATAAGGGGTGATATATATGCACTTTTTAAGTTAGTTCGAGGACCCATTTGACTCTTTTTCCCTATTTATATTCTATTGTCCTTATCAATTCTCATCCTTAGCAGTAGACACACTAATTATATACTCAATCTCCTCCACAACCTCTTTCATGGAAGGTCTGTTTTGTCTCCTAGCCTCCAAACAGCCCATGGCCAGAAACCCTAGTGCCTTCATCGTCTCCAACTCCAAGTTACTCACCCCTTCTTTCAACAAAGGATCCATACCTTCCAATATTTTCTCCTCCTCAACTAAGCGTTGAATATAAACTGCCAAGTTCACATCGTCTGGATCCCTGCTGAAATCTATAGCTTTCTGAGATGTCAAGAGCTCTAGTAAGACAACTCCGAAACTATAAACGTCGCTCTTATCAGTGAGTTGATAGTTCCTATAGTATTCCGGATCAAGGTATCCTAAAGTGCCCTGAGCACATGTGGATATATGACTCATGTCTGTATGAGCCAAACGAGATAGACCGAAATCAGATACCTGAAAATATTTAGTGAAGGTTAATATATGCATTCTAAGGAATTGTTATAAGCCTACAAATAAGAAGAGATAAATACATTTAAACTAATTAATGACATCCAATTATAAGAAATAATACAATTATAGAAGTTAAGGTAATATATCTAATTACGAATATACGTTTAAATAAACAAATGAAGATAATGTCAAAAAATTAACCAAAACTATCCATTTCATCCACCCCGAGAAAAATTAACTTGTACTATCTCGGTCCCTTAAAACTTTGCCAAAGTTGACCAGCACGGAGAATAATAAAGTACAAACTGTGTGGTTGAGGTTTGTACAGAGGAGAAAGAAATAACAGAAACCACAAAATAATTGATTAAAAGGAAAGTGGTAAAGTTTTTTATAACATCTGAATGACAATAATCAGTGTTTGATGATAAAGGGTTTAGTAAGCCAAGATGAAACATACTCCGCAATTTTTTTATAAATGGTAAAGAGTGGTTAATCAATTAAAAATCTATGGTTATAAATAAAATAAAATAAATTGCAACAATGTGAGTTTCAACAATTTAATGTAAGTATATTTTTATTGGAAGTGTTGTGTTCATGGTGAGTTTGGAGAGTTTCTAGGTCAGTAGGTTGTGACCATGATTGTATTATTCCATTAGTTATATAAATTTTATTTTAGTAATACCGCAACCAAAATATCATATAATGACCGTTTGCTAATTAAGATTTAGTGTATAGTAAAGGCTACATTCGCTAACTTGAGATAGATATACTTTTATACTCTCTCCGTCCCAATTTGTTTTGCAAAGTCAACATTTTTGGTCAACCAATAATAAAAGTCAACCCTCTGTATGGATAATTAATTCAATTTTTAATAATTAAAATTTACATATTCATAAACTACATTAAAATATCTTCAAAGTTGTAAACTCCAAATTAGAACATAATTAAAAAATTGACATCCAAATTAAGTGAACAAAACGAGAGTGTTTGACTAAAAAAAGTCAAATTTTCATCTCTTTTTGGGACGGAGGTAGTAATAATAATAGTAATCCAATATATTACATCTTCTTCATTATTTTTTGTACCCTCGAATCCATATATGACATCGGTCATATGTATAACGACATGGGAAAGTTTAAGAAATTGTGGAAATAACTGCATGCCATCATTTGACATCCAGAATGTAGAAGGTACCATATTTACACTTATTAAAGTCAAACATGTTGACTGAAATAGTCAAACTTTGAATTTTTTATGAGACAAAGGAAGACCCTCACCGGTTCTGAAAGATCTTTACACTTTTCATTTTTAGCAGTACCAGAAAGATCTTTACACTTCCTTATTTGCCTTATTTGGCAAATAAATCTACACAAAACAGTACCAAACAGTGTCAAACGATGCTAAACAGTGTACTCTAGAATAAAGTCAAATATATTTCCTTAAAAATTGTGAAGTCAAAGTGTCAAGATCTTTTGGAACCGGAGGGAGTATAATTTATGTGCAAGAAGAGCTAATTACCTTGGCATTGAGCTTTTCATCCAAGAGAATGTTACTGGACTTGACATCTCGGTGATAGATGGGAGGAACTGCAGAGAAGTGGAGGTAAGCGAGTGCCTCAGCGGTGGCCTGAGCAATTTTCAGGCGGTGGGTCCATGTGAGGCGCTCGTGATGATCCTTTCCCTGACGGAAATGATCAAGGAGAGTACCATTTGGGATGTACTCATACACCAACAAGGGCTGCTCCAGCTCAACGCAACAGCCGAGAAGGCGCACTAGGTTTTTGTGGTTCACTTGACACAATATCCTCACCTCATTCAGAACTTGGTCCGTTCCTTTAGCGTTGCCCAGCTTCGCGCATTTAACGGCGACGACTGTCCCGTCATCTAGGATTCCCTTGTAGACTTCGCCGTACCCGCCGACGCCGAGAAGTCGTTCTTTGGAAAAGTTGCCTGTCGCTCGCTTGATTTCCTTCCCATTGAAGAGCTTTGCCGATTTGACGCCACCGGAGTTAAGTATGGCTTCACGTTCTCGGGTCAGACGGTCACGCGCTTCCTTAACGCGCTGGTAGCGTTTGTACACAAAAAATCCAACTAGTGCAGCAACCAATGTCACACCCAACCCTGATGTTAACCCTGCAAGTACATAGTAGGTGACCAATGATTTATAGTTTGATCAATATGATTAAATTTAGTTCATATCTCAAAAAATTTCATCATATATGAAATTCATCGCGTTACTATTCGTACGAGAAAGAATAGTATGTAGTATTCCTCTGTCCCTTTTTATTTTGTCAAACGCTATTTTTCAAGTTAATGATGTTAATTTTTGACCGATTATATATATTTATACACGATAATTTTGATAATACGGAAATGTTATTTGTTAAAAATAATATTATAAAAGTATAAATTTATTAAGTTTCACATAAATATATTAGTTAAAATAGTGCATGAAATTTTATCATCTTTAACTGGAAAAGTCAAAGATGACTAAATAAAAAAGGACGAATGTAGTATAAGTTTGGTACTCGATTTATTTGAGGCGGAGAGAGTAAATCAAGTACACTAAATTACATCAAGACTCATACATTGCTACTTATTTCCATGGCGTTAATGCATTATGGCACTTGCTGTCAAGTACAATTTTGTTCACCCCTTCCTTCCCTTGGTGCCAATGTGTCATGTTGCATTCAATTTCCTATTCTAAAAACAATAGTTACTTCCTTCGTCCTTAAATAAATATCGCACTTTTTTTTGTCCACTCCTAAGAGAAGTCCCTTTCTTTTTTGGTAAATAAAACAATGCAAAACAGTGTCGAACAGTGTCAAACAATGTCAAAATAGTATCAAACAGTGGCATTTTCTTAAATTGTGTGTAATTCAAGGTGAGACTTTTAAATAAGGACGGAGGTTGTATAATTTTTTTATTTATTGTCCAATTTTTATAAAAAGTATATCAGACTTTATAATTTTTATGATCTTTCCAATGGGATCAATATTGTATATAAAAATGATTTTTTTTCTATATATATTTATATATATTTAGCTGGATTTTTTTTAATTTTTCATATGCAAAATTGGTACCATATGAAAGATTGTAAAAAAAAGAAAAAAACGATAAACTAATTGTAGAAAATAGATTAAAATGAAAGAGTGAAATAATTGCCAAATAATAAAGAATTGTTATGACACATGACACGCAACTATGGTCTATGATGGGGATAACATCACCGGCCCTCTTTTGAGAGACCGAACAAAACTGGGTTCCTTTCCATGAACTACACTTTGACATGTTCAAGTGAACTGAAGTTAAGCAAAACAACAATGTAACACTATAGACAAAAGTTTGGAGCTGTCAATGTCAATGTAATTGAATTGGTATATGTAATACGGAGTATTATGTTTTTACTCGATGTCGAGTTGATGTTCATGCATCGCATTTATTCTAAAAAAAATAAACATTGTCTAGTTGTGATTAATATTACTAGCTAACCGGAAACTCATGGACAAAAATGAGTCTACTTTTAATTTTTAAATGTGTTTTTTAAAAAGATACCTATTTTACTTGTATACCCTCCCCAATTACATATTACACGGTTCGCCCAGGTACACTTACATGACCACTCTAGTTACATTATTCGACTCGTCCACATACTCAACCTGTCCAGTTACAGTTACCTGACCCGTCCAGTTATAGTTACACAAACCGACTAGTTACAGTTATCTGGTTTGACAGTGACCACCACTATCACCACCTCCGACCAATACAACTGGTTACCTGTAGCCGGCCACCCGTCTGCCATCACCGCCTCAACACCCGCCACACGCGACCCTACTTCTTTCTCGGAGACCCCGCCCCTGCCAGCCGCAGCCTCAACCCCTGCTCCCACCTACCTCTACTTTGCCCTTCGACCGCCCTGTACCCACCCCCAGTCCCAGCCCACCCTAGCTCCCAGCCATACTCTACAAGCCCCGTCCGACTATTATCCCTGCCCGGCCCGCCAGCCCACCCTAACCTCTAATTGTTGCAGCGTCGTAGCCCTCCCCAGGTCCACCCTGCCTCCGTAGATGCCTTTCCTAGCCTTACAAACCCCCTCCCCAACACTCGCACAACAAGAACCCATCGCAGTAGCAGCAAGGGAGTGGCGCCACACCAAACCGCGATCTCAAATCGATCCAACTATGGTCACTTTCCGATTCGGCACAAACGTGGAGATAGAAAGAACAAAAAATAAGGGCGGCGCAGACCTGCAGTGGCGGCGTAACGAAGAAGAAGGAGATTACAACCTTCGTCGTCATTGAGGTTGGGCTTGAAGTGTGAAGGAGTCGGCAGCGAAGAGCGCTAACAGAGAGACGTGTTGGGAATAACAGGATCGTGCTAATATGAGAGAAAAACACTTCTATTACTTTCAAGAATAGAAAGAAGAGACATACAAGCTCTAATTAAAAACTCTCAAAACAACACCTCACATATCTCTCAAGGATAATCACAACTCTTCTTGGTTGTGCTATGATGATCTATTCTAATTTACTTGATGATAGAAAGACTCTCCAAGCTCTCTATTTATAGCACCAAAACTAGGTACTATGAAGGTGGGAGGAAGGTGGGATTAAACATGAGGAAACTTTGAGGAAGCTCCCTTTGTCATTCTTGCACATGGATGAAGCTTCATGGTTGTTGCTCTCACATGGAGGAAGCTTCATGGTTGTTGCAATTGGATTCTTCAATTTGCTTGTACTTGGATATGTCCTGGAAATTGAATTCTTCAATTCTCCCCTTCCAGACATATTCAAAACAAGCATCCCGACTATGTCTCTGCATAGCTCTAGCTTATCTCGTGTCACCACGTTTGTCAACATGTCTGATGGATTCTCCTTTGTATTGATCTTCACTAGTCTCAACAGTTGTGGATCAATCGTCTCCCGTATCCAATGATACCGAATATCAATATGCTTTGTACGAGAATGGTACATAGAGTTCTTGCTCAAGTCTAGAGCACTCTGACTGTCACAATGTACCTAGTACTCTTTCTGGTGGATCCCAAGTTCTTGGAGAAAGCGCTTTAGCCACAACATTTCCTTACCTGCTTCAGCGGCAGCAATGTATTCTGCTTCTGTTGTAGATAAAGCGACACACTTCTGCAATCTTGATTGCCAAGAAACAGCTCTCCCTGCAAAAGTGTAGATATATCGTGTAGTAGACTTTCTACTATCAATATCTCCGGCCATATCAGCATCTGTGTAGCCTTCCAAGTTTGGATCAGCTCCTCCGTAACAAAGACATAACTTCGTGGTACCTTTCAAGTATCTGAGAATCCATTTGACTGTCTCCCAATGCTCCTTCCCAGGGTTAGAGAGAAAATGACTTACTGTACCCACTGCTTGTGCGATGTTTGGCCTTGTGCATACCATGGCGTACATCAAACTCCCAACTGCCGAAGAATATGGAACTGCTAACATCTCCCCGATCTCTTCCTTGGATGTAGGTCATGTTCTTTTGCTCAACTTGAAGTGATTCGCAAGTGGAACACTAACTGGTTTGGCATCATTCATGTTGAATCTCTCAAGTACTCTTTCAATGTACTTCTCTTGAGAAAGCCATAACTTGCAATTCTTCCTGTCTCGAGTGATCTGCATCCCAAGAATCTGTTGAGCCGGTCCTAAGTCTTTCATATCAAAAGACTTAGAGAGTTCTTTCTTCAACTGGTTTATCATCACTGCATCTTTCCCAACGATCAACATGTCGTCTACATATAGTAGAAGAGCAATGAAAGTACCGTCTGGGAGTTTCTTGATGTATACACACTCATCTGCAGTAGTCGTCTTGTAGCCTTGACTCTTCATGCATGAGTCAAACTTCTTATTCCACTGCCTTGGTGCCTGCTTCAAGCCATACAAACTTTTAGATAACTTACACACAAAGTTATCATTTGAGCTCTCAAAACCTTCCGGCTGCTGCATATAGATTTCGTCTTTCAAATCTCCGTGAAGAAATGCTGTCTTCACATCCATCTGTTCAAGCTCCAAGTTCATACTTGCTGCCAAGCCAAGTATAACTCGGATTGAGGTCATTTTGACAACTGGTGCAAAGATCTCATCAAAGTCAATTCCCTTCTTCTATTGGAATCCTTTGACAACCAACCGAGCTTTGTGTTTCACCACTTGTCCGCTTGCATCCTTCATCAGCTTGAACACCCATTTGTTCCTCAGTGCCTTCTTCCCTTTAGGAAGTTCTACAATCTCATAAGTTTGATTTTTCTGCAGAGATTCTAACTCATCCTGCATTGCTATTAGCCATTTTTCTTTATCCTTATGAGACACAGCTTCTTGAAAACTCTCTGGTTCTCCATCTTCAGTTAACAAAAGATATTCAGATGATGTGTACCTTTTCGATGGTATATGGCCTCATTCAGATCTACGAACAGTTGGAACCATCTCAGAAGAGCTACCATCATCTGTGCTTGGCGAGGTGGGTTGTGACTCCCCTTGCTCTGTACTCTCTTCTGTCTCCTCATCCTCTTCTGCTTCTGAGTTGTTTTCATGCACTTCATCATTGTTTCTCAAGAACAATTCAGGTGCTTCATTTGAAACTTGAACACCCTCATTTGACTTCCGAGACATTGTGGATTTTTCAATGTCTTCTATTGTCAAATCTTCATGGAACACAACGTCCCTGCTTCTGAACACCTTTTTCTCCTTAGGATCCCATAACCTATATCCAAACTCTTCATTTCCATAGCCAACGAAAATGCATGGGATAGTTCTTGCATCGAGCTTCTGTCTGAGCTCTTTGGATACATGTGCATATGATGAACAACCAAAAACTCTAAGATGTGAGTATGTAGGATCCTTAACTGTCCATAGCCTCTCTGGAACTTCAAAGTTCAGTGGTACTGAAGGTAATCGGTTGATAAGATAGCATGCGGTGTTGACTGCTTCTCCCCATAATGACTTTGGAAGTTTAGCCACATTTAGCATGCTCCGGACACGCTCCATGATAGTCCGGTTCATTCTTTCAGCAACACCGTTGTGCTGAGGGGTGCGTGGTACTGACTTCTCATGTCGAATGCCATATTCTCTGCAATATGCATCGAACGCCTTGGATGTATATTCGCCTCCATTATCAGATCGGAGACATTTCAACTTCTTTCCTGTTTCACGTTCCACCAAGACGTGAAATGTCTTGAAGCTCTCAAAGACCCGATCCTTCGTCGTCAGGAAATACACCCACACTTTCCGAGAAGCATCATCGATAAAAGTCAGAAAATATCTGCTTCCACCGATTGATTCTACCTCTAAAGGACCACAGACATCGGAGTGTACTAAACTTAACAACTCCGTTCTTTTAGTTGAAGTAGAACTAAATGATACTCTATGTTGCCTATCAAATAGACAATGACTGCAAGGACCCGGTGCAGAATTCTTGTCAATGTTGATAAGGTTCTTCTTCATCAAGGTAGTCAACCCTTTCTCACCGATGTGGCCGAGCCTCAGGTGCCACAGATTCTGAGAAGTCTCCTCTGCAATGTTGAGGCTATCCATACAAATCCTCAAATGGGTTTTGTACAATGTGCCACAAACATGTCTTCGAGCGATTGTCAAAACGCCCTTTAACATTTTCCAGGTGCCCCTGTTAAAGTGGTTGTCATACCCCTGTTCGTCAAGACATACCACATATAGGAGATTGAGCCGAAGGTCTGGGACATGTCTGACATCCTTCAAAGTGATTGTGCTCCCAGTACTCGTCTTTATTTGTACATCACCAATTCCAGCTATTCCAGAGGAACTGGAATTGCCCATCTTTACTGCTCCAAAGTCTCCAGCTTTGTAAGTTGTGAAGTAGTACCTGTGGGGAGTAACATGGTAGAATGTTGCAGTATCTACCACCCATTCAGTGTCCTCTCTTGAGACGTGCAGGCATGTTTCATCATTGCTAGTACAATACGCCACATCACCTGAGATTGTGATGAGCGCTTCACCACCCTTGTTCTTCGCTTGAGAATTGCTCTTGCCTCGCTCCTCTAGCAATTTGTAGCAATTCTTCTTCATGTGACCCTCTATACCGCAATGGTGGCAGGTATAAGAAGGTTTCCGGCCATCTGATGATCTCCCCCGACTTTTGCCTCTGCTTTGCCACTTTCCTCTACTGTTTCTTTGTTGCTTTCCTTGTGATCTTCCTCGATTCTCCGTCACAAGAGCATGAGTCTGATCTGTGCTCATGTCTTTCCTCCTTGCCTCCTCATTGAACAATGCATCCTTGACCACAGACATGGTAAGTTTGCCATCTGGGGCTGAGTTGCTGAGAGTAACAACTAGTGTCTCCCAACTATCAGGAAGGGAACTAAGAAGTAGTAGAGATTGCATTTCATCTCCAAGTGACATTTCTACACAAGATAGTTGATTTACCAGACTCTGAAACTGACTAGTATGTTCGGCAACAGAAGTTCCACTTTTGAGCTTCATATTGACAAGGCGCCTCATCAGTAGGGCCTTATTCCTGGCGGTCTTGGCCTGGTACATATCTTCTAGCTTCTTCCAAAGGGCATAAGCGTCGGTTTCTTGTGCAACGTGGTGGAAGACACTATGATCAATCCATTGACGGATTTGACCAATAGTTTTTCTATTTATTTTCTTCCACTCTATTGATTTGGGTGGGTCAGGATTAATACCTTTCATCTCTATTGGATCAAAAAGGTCTTTACAGCTAAGGAAATCTTCCATCCGAGGTTTCCATAGCGTGTAGTTGGTAGCCGTGAGCATAATCATAGCTCCGGAAGATGAAGTTGACTCGTCAAAGGTCATTTTCACCTTCTAAATAATTTTAATATTCTGTTTGAGAAAAATCGGAGCAGAATTTTGAAAAACGAGCAGCACCGTTGCGTCCGGAACGGCCAAAAATGGTGGGTAGACACTTTCGGGGTCAAAATACAATTTTCGAAAAATTATAGGTGGAAATTATAATTTTCCAAAAATTGAGGGACCTAACAGCAATTTTTCAAAATTTAAAAACTGACCGGTGACGTGGCAGATGACGTGGCAGATGACGTGGCGCTACCTGGACGTTGACGTGGCAGCTGACTGGGCGCTAGTGGAAGATGGCAGTGAGCTGATGATGTGGCGGATGTGCACTCGTGGCGCTGATGTGTCGCTGACACAGCTCTGAATGGCTGATGACGTCAGCGATGACATCAGCTGTCTTCAACCTCCGGCCTGCGTGCAGAATGACGTCAGGGATGACGTCAGCGCGCTCCTCACCACCGGCGCATAGGCGGCGCGTGTGGTGGCTTCCGGTGGCCTAAAAATTACCAAAAATACCAGTTTTTCTCGTCTCGACGAGACGAATATAACGGTGTATTCAGATTGCAATTCCGAGCAAAACTGAAAAACACGAATTTTCAGACAGTAGAATTTTATCCGAAAGTTCTGGGGAAAAAATACCAAAAGCTCAGCCAGGCTCTGATACCACTTGTTGGGAATAACAGGATCGTGTTAATATGAGAGAAAAACAATTCTATTACTTTCAAGAATAGAAAGAAGAGACATACAAGCTCTAAATAAAAACTCTCAAAACAACACCTCACATATCTCTCAAGGATATTCACAACTCTTCTTGGTTGTGCTATGATGATCTATTCTAATTTACTTGATGATAGAAAGACTCTCCAATCTCTCTATTTATAGCACCAAAACTAGGTACTATGAAGGTGGGAGGAAGGTGGGATTAAACATGAGGAAACTTTGAGGAAGCTCCCTTTGTCATTCTTGCACATGGATGAAGCTTCATGGTTGTTGCTTGCACATGGAGGAAGCTTCATGGTTGTTGCAATTGGATTCTTCAATTTGCTTGTACTTGGATATGTTCTGGAAATTGAATTCTTCAAGACGAAGGTAGAGAGCTAGTGACGGAGGTATTAAGCCTTTTTTGTCTAGATTCAAATATGTTCTCATATTTGTCTACTCAAAACTCACAAGTAATATTTACTACCTCCGTCCCTGCTATATAGCATAAATTCATAGATTTCACTTGTATCAAGTCTTTTTTGTCTAAATTCAAATATGTTCCCATATTTGTCTACTCAAAACTCACAAGTAATATTTACTACTTCCGTCCCTGCTATATAGCATAAATATAGCATAACTAGTAGGCGATGTACCTAAATGGGACTGAATATGTAACAACACACTACGTACCTGCTATGAGGGCAGTTTTGTTATTTCCGCATCCATCCTTGCAAACATCTGGATAAAAATAAGGTTAGAGTATAACATTAGATAGAAAGTTAGACCGAGGCTTTAAGATATACTCATTTGTGCTATTTTGCATCTTCTAAACCAATTCTCATATCTTATACGAAATACTAGTTTTCAATTCTAATTTAACTAATTTGAAATTTAATTTCTATCGGATCACATATAATGTGATTTAAAAGAAAGATAAACTTAGTCTAATATAGAGTCTGTTTGATAATACTAAAGTAAATAGAATTAACTTATTTTGCTGAAATTGATTGAATTCTGGTTAAATAGGTGGAATCTTCTGAATCATGAAAAATATATGTGAAATATATTCCATTTGTGAAACAAAAAAAAATATATGAAAAAAAGTTAAATTGGACTTCTACATAAGCATCTCAAGTAAACATAATTGTTATGAACCCAATAATAAAAATATTCTATATTTCTTAATTGAAATAAGAACGTTTTAGATCTTACAGTTTACTCATTAATAAGAATGTTTTTAATTGAATTAAAATTTCGGGTTTGATTTGGTATGAATTAATATGGTCTATTAGATGTTTGTTTTTTATGTGACTTATCGTTATAATTATTAAAGTTTGATCTGATCTGATTTAATCTGGAACTAAAATCAATCCAATTAAAAACATTCTAATAAAATAAAAGTAGGAATTCGTAAACCTACAAAGATTTTCTAATTTGCATTAGGAATCTATTTCAAAAGTGAAGGCATATTTGAATTTTAGGTGTAAAATAAAGAAACAACCATTTTTTTTACTTATTTGGCTACGCTAAACATATTTACTTGTGAAAATATATATATTTTATGTTGGTTATAATTTTTAATTATTTACTTATTTGAAGCTTACTAATTTATTAATAGGTGTCAAATTAATAAGTAAACTAATTTGCATATTTGTTTCTATTTAATTCGTTGTAGTAAACTAATATAAATTAGTTTCCATATCAATAAACATTATTAGAATTTCATTTTGATAACCAAAAATTATTTTACTTATTTGAAGCTTACCAAATTAATTAAGGTGGATTTATAAGGATTTTTGTTTCCATATCAATATGCAATCAAAAATAAAACCTAATAAAAACAAAAGGTATAAAAATAAGTAAATAATTGTTATATATAATGACATGGCAGGATTATGTGACGCTTTGTATGCTCTTAAAAAGTTCCTCTTATATATATATATATATATATGTGTGTGTGTGTGTGTGTGTGTGTAATATAGAATAAAGATCAAATGAGAAGAGTGCTTATCGTAAGAAGTGAGAATGCATCTGGTGCGTTCATTTTAAGATCCGTGCATCAGATTAGCAAAAAAGTGCACGAGAAAGTGCAAAAGATATTAAAAAGTGATGTTAGACGCGGTGGCATATCTGTAATTAATCGGAATTTTTCTGTCATTGCAAAAAGTGATTCAGATTAGCGAAAAAGTGCATCAGAAAGATGCAAATGTGAAGTTTCTCACTTCTCACGTTAAGATGTCTTCTTATTAGAATCCAACTCTCTCTCTATATTGATTATATACGAAGTATACTCTAATTAATAACAAAATATATCACATCCTAATTATATTATTGTATTTTGTTATACTTATTATACTCTTTTAATTGTCACTTTTCAAGTGTCACGTTACACACACATACGGAGTACTCCGTATTATTTATCTATAGATTTTTATTACAAATCTTATGATACTTTCATTGTAACATACTTTGAATATTTGGAAATATTGTAATTGAAGAATTTCAATATAAATAAGTACTGGAATGATGACTTAATTCAATAAAATCAAATGCATGAGAAGTCAACTCTCATTTTTTTAAAATGGGTAGAATAGCACACTCCGTATAATATTTTAACTACATCATTCTACAAAAGTTTGTCAACTTTGTTGAAGGTGTTGAACACTTGAATATCGACCTATGAATCTATGATAGTATTCCATCCATATTTAGTTAGTCATTTTTGACTATTTAGTAAAATATGATAAACTTTAGTCAATTATTTCAACTAATAAATTTTTGAAAGATTTATAACTTTTTTACTTCTATAATAATATTTTTAAGAAATTAAATAACATTTTCATATTTTTTTGGAATATTCTTTTAAACCTATAATAGTATCTGTTTTTGTTAATGCAGATGCTTGATGGGATGTGACTCGAACCTGCGATCTCCTCTTTGGAAAATCAGCAGTGATGTCATCAGATCACAAGGTACTTCACAACATTTTCATAGGGAAAATCCCCGAAATAGGACTAAAACAGTTTCAAAATTCCAAAATAGGACTGTCATGTTTTTTATTCCCAAAATAGGACTAATTACTGCCATGTTCAGAAAATACTGACATGTTTGAAGTCTGGTACTGTCAAAACATGACAGTAATTAGTCCTATTTTGGGAATAAAAATATGACAGTCCTATTTTTGGAATTTTCAAACTGTTTTAGTCCTAGTTATTTCGAGTAATATCTCCATTTTCATATCATAAAAAGTGAAATATGTAAATATATTATTGGTCAAAGTTTAACAAATCATTATAGAGTAAATTCTCTAAATAGGAGTAAAAAAATTTGAAATTTCAGAAATAGGACTATCATGTTTTTTATTCCCTAAATAAGAGTAAATTTTTGCCAAATTTGACATTACTAGACTTTTTAACGTGACATTTTTTTCCAAACTTGACATCCTCTTATTTTGAAATTTTCAAAACTTTTTTAGTGATGTAATTTCTAATCATTATAAAGATGATAAATCCTACCGAGAGCACATGATCCAAGCGTCGGGTCCCAGTGTCGTCCAGCGTGGCAGAAACATCTACGGATGGAGCTGCCGGAATTGATGTCCCGTTGACATGTAGAATCAGAATTACAATCCGATTGGGAGCTACACAGAGGCTCCGACGGCAAAGCCCACTCCAATTCCACGGCGGGTTTGGCCCACTTGCGGACCGGCAAAGTCGCATCCAGGTTCACAAAGACTCGGTATGCACGACAACCCGCCATCCTAACCCGAATCTTGTCTGCCGTCGATGACCCGCCGGCTCTAAAGGTACAACAGATTGGGGCACCGGAGCACGCGCCAACAGCGTTTCCAGCGGTTAGGCTTCCATTGATGTAAGTGTGGCAGAGGCTGCCGGAGGAGCAGTTCAACGGGGAGTTGAGCACCGCTTCGGTACAGTTGAGAAACAGAACGGTGTTGCTGCTAGTGATATTGAAGGGAAGGGAGGAGTTGAGGAGTATGCCGCCGGTTGAGATATCCTCTGTAACGCAGGTGTCCGGTAAGAACGGTGACGGCTCGATCGTTAGCCGTTGAGACTCCGGTTTGATGGATGAAATCTTATAAGAATTGTTCAGCGTATTGAAGAACAGCCCGCCACTATTGCAACGGACCTTGTAAAGCTGATCGCCGCAGTTGGGGCCGGTGCTAAGTGGGTAAGGGACCGGAGTGCTACCACAGTTGGGGCACCTCTCGGCGAATAGGGCGTTTCCCGACCAAGACAGGAGAAGCAGGAGAAGGAGCGCTGCCGGGAAGTGATGGCTGAGAAAATGTGAAGGGAGTTCCATTTTTGGAGGGAGAGGAGAAAGTCTCCGAGAAGAGAACGGCGAGGCTTGTAGTTTTCAACTTTCAATAGTCAAGGAACATATTTAGTGGGCATTATTTTGGAAAGAACGCGTGTTCTCTTAGAAGAGATAACTCAGATAAGAGAAAACAAGAGGGAAATTATTTTTATATATACTTTGGGCCAGCTGGTTTGCTCACTTAGTTAGACCATTTAGTCATTCATTTTCGTCATTGTTGACATAAAGAAGGAAAATTTGGAAATTATGAGGTCGTTTGGCAACCTTCATTTTCGGCTTATCAGGCTTATCAGGTAACTTTTTTACCAAACACATAAATTTTGCTTTCGCGCACTGAATTGTGTAATAAGCCGAAAAAGTAAGGTTGGAGTTACTTTTCTGGCTGTATTGGCTGAAGTTACTGTAGATGATCATTTTAGCTATTTTACATATAATTTTTTCTTTATTTTATTAATAAAATATATTTTAAAAATATTTTTTTCTTGTTCAGCAGAATCAGCCAATGCAGTCACTTCAGCCAGAAATTCATAAATTTCAGCTGAATCAGCCAAAACAGCCGATTTTCGGGCTACCAAACGGGCTCTATATAATAGAGAGTATATAATATGCTCTTGATAGTTAGCTCTAATATTTCCTACTTTATTTTCATCATAGGAGAAAATGAGAAATGATTCTCTCCATGACTCCCACGTACGAACGCCTTCCGAACACCGCTTTTTGATGCGATTCCCGGTAGAACTTTTTGATGAAAGTTTATGAACATGTTTCTCATCAAGTCTAGTTTATTCACAAAACATTTCAGCTCAAAATTCGATCGGGAAGGCAGTCAAATCATTTTTTGAAGTTGACTGCGCCAAAATATACATTTAAAAACGCATTCAACTTCAAAAAATGATTTGACTGTCATCTCGATCGAATTTTGAGCTGAAAGTTTTTGTGGATAAACTAGACTTTATGAAGAACATGCTCAAAAAATTTGATCAAAAAAATCCACCGAGAACGGCCCCAAACAGTGGTGTTTGGACGGGGTTCGGACGGAGAAGTGTTAGATATGATCATTTCTCTTCATCATAGTTAACTTAAGTTCTACCAAAGTGATTTTTGTAACTTGGAGCTGAATAGAATAGACGATTTAACTTATCAAAGACAAATGCAATTATAGCATGTTAGGTCCCCTAGATTTTGATGATCATTATATATTGTTTTGATAATGCCACCCTTTTTGTAGTTTTTCTGTATTAGACTAGTGTTTGTATTTGTTCTACTTTGTTTATTGTAATGTGCTACTATATTAGTGATAAAAGTACTCAAGAAAAAAAGGAGTACTAAAAAGAGAAGAAACGTACCATAAAACAAAAGAAAAAAACAAAAAGAAAAGGTACGAAAAGAGTCAACCGAAGCCCTTATGAAATCGGATACTTAATCATAAAACCTTCTGATGACCTTCTCATCAAACCAAAAGATCTCAATTCTGATTATCACGTTCTGGTCTTCTCTGATGACACTAGAAGACCTCATGGCCTCAAAGTACTAATACTGGAACTTGCATTCTAGAATCCTTGTGTTCTGATCATCATCAGAACTGGTCTTCTGTTGACACCAGAAGAGAAGACCTCATGGTATTCTGATTAAAAACCGAAATCTACTATTCTTCTCTTAGCACAAAAACAATTAAACAAAAGACCAACTTGCAGTCAAAATGACAAAAAGAATAGAAAGTAATTTTATAAGAAATTATGTGACAAAATTTCTTATGAAATTATTTTACTAAACGCAAGTAATTTTTATTGTATTGAAGCATTGAACAACATTCAGCTGATCTTCTACGAGCTAAAGAAATAAAGATAAATCATCTTTATCTTTACCTAGAAATGAGCAATCAAGTTGAGTGAAGATATTTGATCCGTGTCACAAGAAGGCCATGGCAAGAATCAATCATGCTATCTCAGTCAAATGGAACAAAGCAAGTAGATCAAGCAACGATCAAGATTGAATTACTCAGCCAATGGAGGAAATTCAACAACAGAGTCTATAAATACAGAAGGAGTGTGAGAAGATCAAGTGTGGAATCTAGTGGAACCATTTGGAACCTAGAGGAACCGAGTGGAACTGAAGAGAATCAAAACTCACACGAACACATCCTGCTAGCAGATTCACCTTCACCACTTTGGTTACCACCCCACTCATCTAATGCTCTTAGAATAGCTCATAATTCATACACATCTATGGAGCTCAGATTAGTTTGTAGTTTAGTTTAAACCCATGTAAAATAGACTAATGTTTTTTTTTGCAGAATAGACCATTTAACTTATTATTTTTTTGGCTGAACTTTCTCTTTTTCTCGTAGTATCTATTCTGTTAGATGTCAACATCCTAGACTGGGATGTGTTTCCAACATGTGACCTCCTCCTTGAGAGTGTCATGGTCGTGTCATCAAACCACGAGGTGCTTGGCATTTAACTTATTAACACTAGGTTGCTAAACATATACTGACCATTAAAAATTTACATGGATCAATTATATGCATTATAAGTACAGTACTCTATCTTATTAATCGGCCACAAAATAATGTACCAGAATGAGAGCCCGTTTGGTAATATTAAAATTGGTTGAATTGGCTCATTCTGCTGAAATTTATGAAGTTTTATCTGAAGTGACTGTATTGGCTGATTCTGCTAATTCATGAAAAAATTATATTTAAAATATTTGTTATTAATAAATTAAAAAATATATATGAAAAAATAGTTAAAATGATCATCTACAGTAACTTCAGACAATACAACCAGAAAAGTAACTCCAACCTTACTTTTTCTGCTTATTACAAACTTCAGCGCGCGAAATCAAAAGTTACGTGTTTGGAGATGGGGCTCGGGTTTCCGCTCCACCCTTTTCTGCTGGAGTACCTGAGTTTCATGGGGCTGGCCCCCTGTCAGCTAACGCCCAACAACCACTCTTATGTGGTCGGCTTTCTCTCCCTGTGTCGGAGCCGAGGGGTCCCACCTACCATCGACCAGTTTTTTCTGTCCTTCAACCTATGCCGGGGGGGGGGGGGGGGGGGCATTCGAACGCAGAGGGCTTCGCCAACCTGCAGCAACTCCCGGAGTTCAGGGTGTTTGATGATGTCCCTTCGTCCCACAAGGGATGGAAGGATAAGTTTTGTTACGTCCGCTTGGAGGAGAACCCATTTCCGGCCCCGCTTCGCAATAGCTTTCGGCGGCATCCGAAGGTAGGGGATGCATCCCTCGAGAAGAATGGTAAGAAGCTTGCCAAAAAGCCGGAGGGTTCTGATAAACACGTGTCAATCAAGGAAACCACACTCCCGGATGACCTGCACAATCTGGGCTTCCGACGTTATAGCCTGTTGAGGGAGGAAGATGAAAGATATCCCCCGATAGATCATGTGTTCGAGAGTGTCCGAGGTGATTACCAAAGGGTCATATGTTTTGTACTTAGAAATATTTTTCGGAGCTTATCCATGTCGCTGTAGTTGATCCCCTTCGGCTTAACCATTTGTCTTGTGTTCTTGCAGGTAACAATATGGATGTCAACTCTCTTTTCACCCTGAAGAAACAAAGGGGGAAGAAGAAGGACCCCTCAGGGCACAAACCGGTCGATACCTTCTTTCAAAAAGGGGAGAGGAGCCCTCTACAGTTGCTGCCGCCGGTGCTGGGGCCGGGAGCTCCCAGGGCCAGGGGGCCACGAAGAAGAAGAAATGCAGCAAGGGGGTTGAGCCCCCGGCCAAGAAGCAGAAAGCTGGGGACTCCAGCAAGCAGCCGGCCTCTGACGTCGTGGTTGTCGAAGACGACGCCGGTGACTCCATTCCTGCCTCCCGGGGGGAGTTCATTAGCGAGGATTTTTTCGCCAGGGAGAAGCTGGAGGCTCTTGTCCCGAGGGGGGCCTCCATCTTTGATGACAGTCTCAATCCTTCGGCGCTGATGAGCCAGATGATGCCCTCGGCTGATAGGCTGGCCCTCACCGGGATGGACGAAAGTGCCATTGAGGCCAAGATTCTTCTGAGTAGCGCCACTGTGAGTCACGCTTTCCTTCCCTCTGCATTTATTCTCGTCTTTACGTAACATATGCAATGTGCCTAACCATTGTCCCTTGTTCACTGCAGAACTTCATGGGCCTCTGTGAGTACCTCCGGAGGATGGAGCAGATGAGGGAGGCCAAGGTTGCTGCTGATGTGGAGGCTGTCAGCCTCAGGAAGAAGCTGGATGAGGCCGAAGACTCCCTCCGAATGGCCACCGAGAGCATGGAGCGGCGGGTCCAGGCTGCTAAGGCCGAAGGCAGGAATGAGGGATTGACCGAGGCCGGGGAGGCAGCTGCTGAAGCCACCAGGAAGGCTGTCGATGAGGCCCAGGCAGCTAAGGAAGAGGCCGTCACCAAGGCCCGAGAAGATGTTGTAGCCGCTTTTGCTGCCGAGGGGTGGAAGGCAGACGAGGAGTGGCTGGTCTCGGTGGTGGAGGCTTCAGTGGATGCCTGGGTCGGAGGCCCCGAAAAAATGTGGCTTGATGAGAGGGGTGACTCCTATTATCAAGGTGGAGAGTTCTTCACCCAACGCCTCATCTACCGGAAGCTGGCCCAGCACTTCAATGTGTCCCCCGAAGACTTTAAGTCGGAGGCCTATGGCCTTCCCCCTCGGCAGCCAGACATTAGGGTCCCCCTTCCTCCGGGTGAAGAGAGGTTGGTGCTTGAAGATTCCGAAACCTTGAGGGAATTCGGCTTTGGTGGTGATGAAGATGAAGGCGAGGGTGGTGCCACCTCCATTGCTGCCGAGGAAGACACTGCCACTTGTACTCAAGAAATATTTTGAACAATGCTTTGTAGTGACATTTTCAGCTCCGGCTTCGGCCCTTGCAAACAATTTACTTTTATTTTTTGTGAATGGATGAATGGGTGCCTTCGGGCCTTGAATTCATCTGTTTTGATGTATGAATGCTTTCATTTTCCTTTATGCCCTTTTTCCTTCGTGTACGTATGTTTGTATGGTGAGTTGACCGAGGGCCAATCACTTAGGACTCAGAAAAAAAATTCTCTAAGTGTTGTTCAGTGCTAGGCCTTCGGTCAATGCTTCCTTCATGATCTTGTGTAGCCTGCCATGGGTT